AGATTGCTGTTGTTTGTGACTTGTAAGTGTTGTTGACAAATTCAAACTGGAGATATTCAAGGTATTTGGCTGAATGCTGAAGCAGTGACAGCGACGCTTGGTAAGTTTTGATGATTTACTAACTGCCGTGAGCCGTCTGCATTCTTACGTTTCCTTGGTTACATGTTTATTCCTCATATATAAATTGCCGATTTATATGAAATAACAATATATTTCAAAAATGTCCTGAATTCCTGGCAGCTCCAAAGGCCCAAGAAGCGTATGCGTGTTTGATTTATTTTCTCACAATTCTGTATGTGCGATAGTAAAAAGTCAAATCGTCCTTCTATGTTTTTGTGAAAGTAAATATTACTAAAACGTCACTTTCAAATTTTTAGGTTTGCTAATTGCTATAATATAGTTAACAATTAAAGAATGAGTTCCACCAGTGGGGGTGGCAACCGCGACCGCGACAAAAATCGCAAATATGCATCTGGAGCAGCAAAACGAAAGGCAAAGGATGAACGAATTTTACGGAAAGTAAAGTTTTAAGTAAAATGCCGAAAATATCGGAACTGTTTCCTCCGAAGGCTGATGAAGGTTCTTCTGAGCTGACTGCTGCAGATGAAGCGATGACAACAATGGCAGAAGCAGTTGAGGAACCCGACACCGGCGACACATCCAAGGAGTTGACATCTGGTGATACGTCCATTTCCACTGATAACAATGATGGATACTCTTGTGATTTGGGATTATGGCCTACTGATATTTCTGACAATATGAGAGAGCACTGGGCAGGTCAAGGGAGTAGTCAGTGCAGAAATTCCGATGCCGATTTCAGCGCAACATCAAACAAGATATGAGGGAGATGCTTACAATAGACGATGTCAAAAAACTTTGTTCACGTACACACATGAGCTTACAAAACAGCAACATCCTCGAAACTGGCTCTGCTATTCACCATCCAAACATGTCGTGTTCTGTTTTGCGTGTAAACTCATGACTGACAGCATCGTTTTGGAAAACAAGGTTATAATGACTGGAAACGCGCATCCCAGTCAATTCCACGACATGAGAAAAGTTCAGCGCACCGTAATGCTGTTTTCAGCTACTCCAACGTAGCGATGCTGGCTGCCGTATTGATTCAGAACTGGTCACACAGGCCAGTGATGAGCGTAACTATTGGCGGGCAGTACTTGAGCGGGTAACAGAAACCATCCGTTACATTTCCGAGCGAAGTTTACCATTTCGCGGCACTGATGAGATCGTTGGATCGCCAAAAAACGGTAACTACCTGGGAACATTAGAACTTATATCGATGTTCGATCCATTTCTAGCGCAACACATCAACCGTAATGCAAATAAGGGAAAGGATCACACATCCTATCTCTCAAAGACCATTTGCGAGGAATTCATCCAACTGATGGCAACTCGAGTTCGCGAGCAGATTTTTACAGAAGTTAAAGCTGCAAAGTATTTCTCCGTCTGTGTAGACTCTACCCCAGATATTTCCCACGTTGATCAACTGACATGCATTCTTCGATACGTTTTACCCTCTGGTCCTGTCGAACGATTTGTATCTTTCCTTAACATACGTGGACATAGCGGAAAATTGCTAGCTGAAAGGCTACTAGATTATTTGAAAACCAATAATATAAATATTTCGGATTGCCGCGGCCAGTCATATGACAATGCAAGCAATATGAGTGGGAAATATAATGGTATGCAGGCCATTATTCAGCAACATTGTAGCCTAGCACAGTACATACCCTGCGTTGCACATTCCCTTAATCTTGTTGGACAATCTGCCAGTTGTTGTCAAGAAGCATCAAGATTCTTCAACTTCCTCCAACGATTGTACTCTTTCTTTGCTGCTTCAACGCATCGTTGGAAAGTTTTAACCGACCAACTTTCAAGCAAGAGACTTCCAACGGTTAAACGTATGTCTGATACTCGATGGTCAGCACGTGCAGATGCTACAAAAGCTCTAGTAATAGGATACGAGGAAATTAATGCTGCTTTAGACGAGATCCATGATGATCAAGATGAGAAGCCTGAAGCCAAAATGAAGCCAATAGTCTTGCCTCTGATATGGCCCAGCTTGAAATTGGAATTCTGGCAGCATTATGGCATCAAATCTTGCAACGATTTCAGAGAACAAGTCAGATCCTGCAATTAGCTGATCAAGATCTCAACACTGCTGTTGCATTATATGAATCGCTGATTGAGTTTGTCCTTTCGCTGCGAACCAGATTTGAAGAATTTGAAGCCAAAGGAAAGGAGCTCAGTGAATGTGATCAATATAAAGAAGAGATCAAGCGCGTGCGTAAACGAAATCGTCGTAACGACGAGCCAGGATCAGCACCTGATTTGTTGCAGATTCCAGCCGACAAGTTTCGCACAGGTACTTTCCTTGTAATAATCGATAGTCTGGATGCTGAGTTGCGAAAACGACTGAGTGCTTACATCAACATTGCTGAAAAGTTTGGCTTTCTGCGAAAGCTTACAGATCTGCCAGCTGAAGACGTGTTGGAAAACGCACAAAGATTGCAAAAAGCATTTTCCACTGACCTCGAAGTCAATTTGGGTGATGAATTGCTCCAGTTTTCTAGCTTTCTCAACACAGAATTCGTGAAAAGAGCATTAGATGCGAGTCATGCAGCTGCACCTCATTATTCTTCAGCTCGAATTGGATCTTCTGCTCAGCCTAGTGAAGACCATGACATCGATGTAACATCCGATGATGATGACGACATCAAAGTGAACGTAGACTCCCTAGAACTGCATATATACAGGTTTCTTGTGGGAAATAACCTGGAAACTGTATTTCCAAACACTGTTATTGTGTTTCGCATTTACCTCAGTATGATGATATCAAATTGTTCTGGTGAACGGTCGTTCTCGAAATTAAAGCTAATAAAGGATCATCTTCGTTCAACATGGACACAGGAACGACTAAATAGCCTTGCTCTTCTGAGTATTGAAAATGATGTTCTGCGTAGTATTGATATGTCATCCCTGATTAATGATTTTGCTCTTATGAAATCCCGTAAGCATAACGTTTATAAGGCTTAACACTTCTGCACAGTAAAACCTTTTACGTCTTTTTTTATCGTGTTTATTATATTAGTCTGTTTAATATTGGTATGTAATGTTTGGTATACGTACGTGATTGTAAATTGGAATTATATTCAACGTATTGGTTTAAATAGGCCAAAATACGAGGTTTTATTGTTTGAGTTAAAAAAACAGTTTTTTATTGCATTTTGGTAAACACAGGGGTTGGGGCAAGGGCCCCGCACTGATATTATGCCATGGGCCCCGCAAAATGTTAATCCGGCCCTGATTACCACCGTGTTTCAACCCACTTTGCCGCGAGTTTTTAATTTGCCGTGAGTTTTTAATTTGCCGTGAGTTTTAATTTGCCGTGAGTTTTTAATTTGCCGTGAGTTTTTAATTTGCCGCGAGTTTTCAATTTGTCGCGAGTTTTTGATTTGCCGTGAGTTTTTAATTTGCCGTGAGTTTTTAATTTGCCGTGAGTTTTTAATTTGCCGTGAGTTTTTAATTTGCCGTGATACTTGTGGGCCACCGTAGTATCGGAATCAGATGAGACAGATAGTCCAGCGGTACAGGTATACAATTGAGACCGTAACTCATTCATGAGAAAGTCTTTGTTACATCCGTGGCACACTTGTTTAACAATAACCACAGGTTCTGGTTTGAGAGGTTTCGTTGAAAGACTTTTTTGTATTGGTCTTACATAGATCTTACATTGACTGCCAACGTTTGCTTTAAGTTGTTTGACCGACCACTGACATTTTATCATGCTCAAGTGTCGGCAATTTGATTCGCATTGGATTAGCTCGAAACCACCGCCATCCCGAAGTTGAGATGCTTTTCTTTTTCAAGCCGTTCCCCTTGCATGCCGAGTATGAAATAATGCTGCCCTTTCTGCAGCGATTGAGGCAGAAGATGAAACAGGAGTAGAACTTGATGCTGTAGTATCCCTGCAAACAGCACGGAGACGAATACGCTCTCCTATTGTAGTTACGCCAAGACGGATTAACTCTGTATCGGTCATAGCTAAAACTACGTCAGGCTCAATCCTTTCTTCATTAAATGTCTCAAACAAACTCAAGAGACCTGCCTTTTCTAATATTTTATCCATTATATCTTGCAAAAATGACGCCCGACTCGAATACTATTGCTTATTGACTATTTGACTCTTCAACGTGTTGAACAAATCGTTTGTTACAAATTACAAATGTTGCCAATGAAGTGCCAGGCGGGAAACGGATTCTCAATATAAATATTAGAGCCCAACAAATAATTTTAAACATAGTCATAAACAATCTATCCCTATTAAGCTTTTCTAATCTCAACACCTCACCCTAACAATACATCACACTTACATCACACTTAGGTCCCGTCCACACTAATCCGTATTCAAACGAAAACGGAGCTGTTTTGCTCCGGATACGGCTATCGTCCACACTACAACGCCGAAAACGATCACCGAAAACGGAGCTATTCAAATACGCTTTCGGGAGTGGAGCACTTTGAAAACGACGCTTTGTGAAAACGGTGTTTCCTAGTGTGGACAGTAAAAACGATGGTAAGTGATATAGTGACGTAATTCGACCGCGAATATTTAAAATGGCGGACAGGTGTTTTGTTATGGCTTCTTTTCTGATTGTTATGATTTCTAGTCTTTTGGTGCTCTTGAAGGCACATTTATTCCTGTTATGACGTCACCTAGATTCTACAAGAAGAAAACAAGCTATTTTAAAGCTTTTGACTTTCCCAGCTTCGAGAAAATCGAAGATAAAACGTCTCTCTCGAGGCTTGCCTAAATCTCGAAGGTTTTGGACAAGACCTGGACGAAGTTCAGTGTGGTGGGACAACTTTGTCGCCAGAATTGTCGTGGAAGAAGAGTGGAGGGAAAATTTCGAATGAGTAGGAACTCTCTGTGCGCTCTAGCTTTCAAATTGAGGCCGTACATCGAAGGAAAAGAAACAAGAATGCGGTCGCCGATCGACGTGGTAAAAAAAGTTGCAATAACTTTGTACTATTTAAGTGATGAAGGTCGTTTGCGAAAGACTGCAAATGCCTTTGGTGTTTCACGGCAGTCTGTCTCCAAAGTAGTTCGACAAGTTTGCAAAGCGATTGCCATTCACATTGGACCTGATTACATTCATTTGCCAACTACAGAAGAGGATGTAAAAGACTTAGTTGCAAAATTTCATGTAGCTCATGGCTTTCCTCAGTGCTTAGGAGCAATTGACAGCACCCACGTCGAAATTAAGCAGCTAAAGGCAAATAGCACAGAATATATAAACAGAAAAGGACGCTACAGTCTTAACGTTCAGGCTACTTGTAACTATGATTATCGTTTTATTGATGTTGTCATTAAGTGGCCAGGCAGTGTCCATGATGCTAGGGTGTTCCAAAATTCCCAAATGAACCAAGTCTTGAGAGATGGCACCATACCACAATGCAGGCGGATAGTAGTTCCTGATGAGGACCCTATTCTGGTATTCCTTCTGGGAGACCCTGCTTACCCGTTGATGCCCTACCTGATGAAGGAATATTCTAATGGTGGAGCTACAGTCCAGGAGCAGTACTTCGGGATGACTCTGTGTCAGTCCAGGATGGTCATCAAGTGTGCGTTTGGAAGATTAAAGGCAAGGTTTGGGTGTCTTAAGAGGGCCATGGACATAAATTTGAATGATCTCCCATATGTAATATATGCATGTTTTGTTCTTCACAATTTTTGTGAGATGAGGAAAGAAAAAATTGGAGAGAACAGAGTTCTGGCATCCATTGCTTTTGATAAACATTTCCAGCCATTATCAAATACAAATAATTTTATAACAGACAGCAATGAGGCAGAAGGAAAAAGAGTCAGGAGAGTTTTAACTAAATATTTTGATCCATGATTATATTACTATTACATAGGAACCTACAATATATATGATTATTAGAAATTTGTGTTCAACACTCTCCTCACTTTAGATAAATTTTCTGGATATGTTTATCTGGTAGTTTTCTTGGCATTTATTAAATGCAGGACCCAAGCAGTAAACAATTAAGAATTGTAGTTAAGGCAGAAAACATAGCACTTCACAAGCTGATAAGTGATATGCCAGTTTCAGAGCCAATGGTGCTTCATGCTAAAAACTGTTTTGCAGTGCATGCATCTTAAAATGCTTGCAAGGAACACCATTTTCTGATTTGAGAAAAGTGGTCTCCAATAAGGTGCCACATTAAAAAGAAAGTTGACTATCTTTGGAATATAGAGACTGTGTAAAAGTGAAGTGTCCATTGTCCCCAGAATCTCGAAGCGGTGTCAACTCAGTAAATGTTTGGCGGGGAGGGTAGTGAGGTTGCATGGGTGGTTGTGGTGGCTGTGGTGAATATAGCAGCTGTGGTGGGCTTAGCATTACCTGCTTCAGCATAGTAAAACCATCTGCTTACAACCTTCAGCATAGTAAAACCATCTGTAAAACGACTCAGTTAGTTTTTCCATGTTGGTCATCATCCTTCTCATCTGAGTTGAGTTTTCTTGCTCAATCTCTTCCATTCTTGTGATCGATTTTTTTTTAATTTCAAGTTCTTCCTGGGCAATACTCAGCATCTGGCTATCTACAGGAAGTTTTCTCTTCAACTTTTCCTGTCTATAGCCCTGCAGTTTTGAATTTAATAATTCACGCCGATGCTGAATGGTACTGCTGCTCAAAGTTGTAGAATCATATGATTCGTCTTCATCTTCTGGGCTTCTGCTTTCATCATCATTTATCTCTATTGATGCAGGGGTATGTGGAACACTATCATCATTAACATCAACATCAACATCATCGATTAATGTGCTTGTTTCTAAGCCAGATCTAATCGTGTTTGTCACTGGAGAGCCGCCCCATATTTGTTCACAGAGCTTGAAATACAGCAGGACAACGCGGCCATGTCCACTCTTCCTTCCCGAGTCAACAGCTTGTCGAAATTTTTTCCGAATGGCTTTTAATTTGGTTGAAAGTGTTGCTTTCGTTATATCCTCTGGTTTATGAGGATATTCTTTGAATAAAGCAGTGACATTTTCCTGGTTAGGATACTCTGCTTGAAACATATCCAAGATATCGCCATACTTCGACTGCACCGACTCCCAGTCTATACTCTCGGTGCTTTTCTGCACTTTGTAATCATTTGTTACTTTTAGAAGTAGCTCGACTTCATCATCAGTCCACGTAAAACAACCCTTTTTAGACTTCGACAGATTTTCACCTGTCCTTGGCATACTTAAAAATGTAGATATTGAAGAATTGTAAGCCACAACAACGAGAATTTAAGAATGGCGCCAATTATTCTCGCCTTTCGCGGATTCGTTAAAATGAAATGCTCATCGCGAAGTTTATTTGGTCATGCACTTTGGGTACAACAGCGTTTTTGAAACATAACGCGTAGTAGTGTGGACGGGCAAAAACGATAAGAAAACGATTAGTGTGGACGCAAATTTTTCTAAAAACGGAGCAAAAGAGCTCCGTTTTCGTTTGAATACGGATTAGTGTGGACGGACCTTAATCACATCACACTTACACATTCACAGTAATCTGATACCTCAAACTATGTAAATAGCTCTATATATATCTATATTCTTGTTAACTTCCTAATTGGTCTGAAGATGTCTTGAGTAAAGGCGAAACGTCACTCTTTTAATAAATTTCATAAAACCAAATTGTTTATGACTATGTTTGAAATTACAAATGGTTCAATTTGAGCCTGTGTTTCAGTTAATTGAAGGTACTTCATGTTAGACATCACATAACGAAGAAATAAAAATAACCACATAATGAATTAACCACATAACGAAATAACTGTTCGTATTACGATATATTTCAGCAGAGAAAACACTTTGAACATAAAAGTAAGTTTTTATTACGATAAAAGAAAAACACACAACGAACGTCGTGCAAACGTACACATGCGCCCGCGATATAAACTTAAACATAGTTAATACTTCATAACAACGTAGTTAAGGCTACGTTTACACGAGACCGGATAAGTTTTCGTCCGCTCAAAAACTTGCACGGGCGAAGTATGGAGTTAGGAAGGGGACAAAATTAAATAACAAATCGTCGACTCGTGTTTCAATTTGTCGACTTGAACAATTCGTCGACTTGAACAATTCGTCGACTCGTACGGAGTTAGGAGGGGATAAAATTAAATAACAAATCGTCGACTCGTGTTTCAATTCGTCGACTTGAACAATTCGTCGACTTGAACAATTCGTCGACTCGTACGGAGTTAGGAGGGGATAAAATTAAATAACAAATCGTCGACTCGTGTTTCAATTCATCGACTTGAACAATTCGTCGACTCGTGTTTCAATTCGTCGACTCGTACGATGACTTGAACCTTACGGTATGCAAATGCCAGCGGTTATTTTTTGGCGATACTTCGTGATTTGGAGAGTTTGGATGCATATAAAATTATGACATCTCAAATAAAATGGCGAAAAATCCAGTCGTTCGCGTTGTGTCTGTATTAAAAGAGGCAATTGAACAGATTCAGAATCATTGCCCTTCAACAGCAAGCGCAACAAATACTTCAAAAATCAATGGAGCGCTTGCAGTGGCATCAACATCGTCGCATTCTCGAGAAAGTTTTAATGAAGCTGTACAACGCGATTTTAGGTAAGTGGTTATTAATAATAATAACTTATTATTTCTATTGAATAACCTAACAAAGAATAGAATAAATTTTGCATGAGAAATATTGCTAGTTTGAACAACTGGCTTTAGTGGTTGTGGCAAAGCCCACAGTAAAACAGTGGCATACCCAGCTGGATAATTGGGGGTGGGGGCAATATTTGCATGTTCATGTTCTGCTGTATTAAATTCATTTGAAATCAGTTTTCTTTTGCGGATGATTACATGCTTAAATGAATACTTCCCCCCTCCAAATCATCAAGCCTAGTTACACCACCATTGCAATAAAACTGGAGAAAGTGTTGTATTTCAAAGGCTAACAAAATTTCTAAACTTTCTGGAACATAAATGCTAAAATCTTTGTCTTCAAAGGCAAATGTAGTTTATTATCAAATGTATTTTGTCATCTCATTTGTACATAGTATCTTGCTTTCTTTTAGCAAAGCTTTTCCCAGTCTTGGTGGTGGGGGTCAGCGGCAACACCTTAACCCTCGACCTGCTAAAAGGCAAAAACTAGTCTTCATTCATCGAAAAAAATCTTGGACCCATGACTTTTGCCTTTTAGCTGAAAGTAATCAAAGCAGAACTCCATCTTTACAACAACTATCTACATTAAAAGAAGCTGGTTTGGGGAAAAACGAATTGTTTTTCCAGACAAGAATGCAGGATTTGTCAAGTTGAAGTCAGTCATTGAAACTGAATTTCCTAAATTGAAATCACAAGATGGGGCATTTGAATTTATGCGTGGAGAGGGTGGTGGATATTCACGGCCTCTTTGCCTGATTCCTATCCCATCAGATGGATACAATGTCCCATACATTAAGGATATGGTTAGTTCCAATACCACAATTTACATACGCCCAATTAAAGAGTCATTGCCTGTTGAAAAAGCTCCAGTGCCCATCAGTCTAACTAGCCCTTTGACTGTATGTACAAGATGCAATGAACAAGTTCCAATATTTGCTTTGTGTCAACATTCTAAAGATTGTTGCTCTATATTAATTGAAAGTGAAACTACTGAAGATGAGGGTATTTCAAAAGAAGATGGCAGAGAGGTTGATGATGAAGTTACAGAGCTGAATATCCCAAACCAATCAGAAATTGGAACAAAGCATGAACTTGAAGATTCTAATAGGCCATGCACTTCTTCACAAAGCTGGTTAACAGAACTAAAGCAGGCATTTCCTGATACCAGTGAGGAAGATATAAAGGAAGTTCAGTCAATTGCTACCTCAGTTGATGATGCAGCATGTCTCCTCCTTGAAACACAGGCAGAGAGTAAAATAGAAAGTCCATCATCTTTGGAAGAAGTAATTGCATCATTTGTGGCGAAAAATCATTTGCCAGGCGAAGAGTACATACTTATAGATCGGGAAGCATTTTGGATAGATGTTATTAAGTTTTATAAAAGATCTCTTTCAAAACCAGAAATCTTGAAGAAAGAGCTTTGTGTGTCATTCAAAAACGAGGAAGGCCTTGATGGTGGTGCCATGAAAATAGAGTTTTTTTCATTGGCACTTAGTGAATGTAAAGCTCGATTATTTGAAGGTGGTGAGTCAAATATGGTACCAATCAGAGATGTAACAAAAGGTATTTTGTTTCAGATTGCTGGAATAATTATAAGTCATGCATTAGTCCAGAGAAGCTCAATTGGCTTTCCATATCTTGCTCCACATGTTTACTCACACATGGTTGCTGAAACAGATGAAGAAACTATTTCCAAAATGAAGAAGCAGCACATTCCGCTGGATGCCTCCACCGCATTGTTGCATGAATTTATAAATTGCTTGGAAACTTGTGAAAAAGATGATGATATACTTCAGCTATTAGAGAGAAATCCAAAATCTGAAGCATTTTGGCAAATTGTTAACTCATCACGATGGCCAAAAGAGAAGATGATAAATATGAAAAGTAAAGATTTTCTTTTACAACATCTGATTGCTCATGAATTGCTGGTCTCAAGAAAGAATGAAATCAGCGAGTTCTGTATCGGGTTAGAATCTCTTGGTCTTTTAAAGTTAGTTCAAGCGAATAAGGAAATTTGTGAAATTTTATTCACTTCTAAAGAAATTTGCTTGCTCACTCCTGCTACCCTGATGGATATGATTACCAATGTGGAAAGTAAAAGCTTTGCGGAACAACAAGCATATGAGTGGTTTGAATGTTATGTTAATCAGGATGAAAATGACGACTTCCCAGGTGATTCCCGACTACGTGCAGTTATGCAGTTTTGGACT